GTGGAGTGGGTGGAAATCCTGTGGCTCTGTATTCAATGAAATGGACTTACCAAAGACAGCCATGCCTTTTACAGAGATTTTAGAGGAAATGAAAAAGTAAGCCAAAGAATAGGATTTCTGCCCAGGCAACAGCTGTGCTATGTAAAATTTAATTTCAAAGGGTTGTTTCTTGCGAAGACAAAGCTAGCTGAAAGGACTGATGCGGGCTCAGCATGAACACACATGCTGCTTTGGCAAAGGCCAAAGCAGTTGACTTATAAATTACAAGCTGTACTGGCTCCATAGGGAAATAAAGACAATACAAGATATCTGACCATGTAAGAGCATAGATAATCTAATAACAACAGTCTTCATTTCTCTTGTTTTGTCCCTCAAAGTAATGTGTAAATTTTAGAAGATGCTGCAAATTCTTTGTAATCTTTGTGTTTCACACACAACTCTTTCTGCAAAGGTAATTTGCCCACAAAGAGAACTCCGTGCTAAGATGAAGCATGCCATGCTCTAATACTCCTTACATAATCTATTACAAAAGGAAGAAAGCAAAAGAGTTTGTGTCAGATATGGTCCTTCCGAATGAAGACATCTGAAAAAAAGCTCAAATAAATAATAGAACACAAGAGAATTATAAAAGTGTTCCTTACAAAGCTGCTCTGGTAATATACAAAATGTTGGTATAGGATATAATATAGTGAACTCCAAGTCCTTTTAAATTAGTCATCTGGGTAGACTCCTAAGGAAGGGTGGTTTTTAAATTAAATAATTCATTCAATTTAATAATATAGAGCATTTTATTTGTTTGAAATATTAAATAAAAATAAATCAAATATATTTCTACCCAGTAGTGATATCTCCATTCCAAAGCCATTTTATTATCTCAGTGGTACACGTGTGGGTACCATCATACAAGGGATGCTATCTGATTTGGTATTGTAGATGTTATATCAAGGGGAAGGATTCTTTCCCAGAGAAATACACACATGGAAAGGCAGCTATGGAAGAGTATAAAATATATAAGGGCATGTGTTTGTACCTTAAAAACAGAAAGTTCAAAATGAACGAGAACTTTCTCTTCAAATATCCAAATATCAACAATTAATGTGGGGAGGAGAGGTTATGATGAAACAGTATTGAAATGAACACCTGTTGGGAATGAATGTTGGTTCAGCCTCTTCAGAAGTAATTTAGAATTATGCCTCAATAATTTTAAGCAGTTCCTATCCTGACCCTGTGACCCATGACACTACTAGGAATCTATCTTCAGGAAATAAACAGATATGTGCACACATATGTGTACAAACAGATAGGCACACATATGTGTACAAACAGATAGGCACACATATGTGTACAAACACACAGACACACACAGATACACACACACACACACACACACACACACACACACACCATTATTCATAAATAAAAATCGGCTGAAAATACACCTCTAAAAAAAATTTCACTTAGGAATGCTATGATAATAACTGAAGTAAAAAGAAAAGATACCAAAACCATATCGTAGCCCAAAATCAGATTTTAAAAAAAGCAGATATCAGCAAGATGGCAAAATAAAAAGTCTCAGTTCTTGTTCCCCCACAAAAACACAATTTAACCATGATACATGCATCAAAATGCCTTTGTAAAAATGTTAGAATGCAGTTAAGAGGTTGCGGTACTCTAGGACAGCAAAAAGCCAAGAAGAACCACATTAAAATGGGAAAGAAGAACAATTTCATTTTACCTGCATCAGTCCTTCCCTGAAACTACCATAGGTCAGCACTGCAAGAAAATACCCTGACCCCACGGGGTGCCTGGGTGGCTCAGTGGGTTAAGCGTCCAACTCTTGGTTTCGGCTCAGGTCATGATCTCAAGGTTTTGTGAGTTCGAGTCTACATCGGGCTCTGCACAGAGCCTGCTTGGGATTCTCCCTCTCCCTTTCTCTCTGCCCTTCCCCTGCTCATTCTGTCTCTCTCTCAAAAATAAATAAATAAACATAAAAAAATTTAAATATGTAAAAAAAAAAATACCCTGGCTCTTGACTTCTCTGTCAGGATAAAGTGAAAAGTGGAGAATACCTCTGATGTTCTGGCTTTCTGGAAGGCTGCTGAATGAATGGTTTCTGATTTGCCTCACTCAGAATTATGAGTGAATCAGCATAGATTGGATACCTGAAGGCTGCTGAAACTAAAGGAAAGTGGTGGGTAGCTTGCTGCAGCCAGCATGGCTTAGTAAAATTGGGAGAAAGGTGCACAATCTAAGCCTTCTCTCTCAGGAGGGAGATACAGAGGGCTGCCCAAGGGAACTGGTATCTATCTTGCCTGACTTCGGGCACTGATAGGGACTGGCATGCTCTGGATGCCTAGCTGCCACTCATTAGAAGAGAGTTGAGTGGCTTGCTTCTGTAGAACCAGCACTTGCAGTGCTATAAATAGACACCAGAGAGCAAAAATTACAAGCCTTTGAAAAGAAGAATGCAAGACTATCTACCTGAGAAACTGTATACAGAGGCACAGAGAAGCTGTATCCCCCCAAAAAAGTTTCAGAGGCCCCCCAGAATCGTAGCCAAGCAGATTGGTAAGGAGTCTGTAAGACTCTCCTTACAAGAAAGCAAGTCTGTAAAGACTGAGAGGTGACTTTAGATGTGCAGATCCCAATATAAAGTTATCAGATGAAGAAACAAATAGATATGGCTTGACCAAAAAATCAAAATAAACCTCCAGAAATCAAACCTAAATAATGAGAGGTATATAATTACCTGATAAAAAATTCAAATTAGCTCTCATAAAGATGCTTGATGTGCCCAAGAAAATGATACATGCATAAAATGAGAATATCAACAAAGAGAAAACATGAAACGGAACTAAACAGAAATTTAGGAGCTAAATAATAGAATAACTGAACTAAAAACCTCACTAGAAGGGTTAAACAACAGACTTGAGCAAGGAGAAGAAAGGATAAGTAATTTAGCAATTTGAAATTATTCAAAGAAATACAAAGGAAAAAAATGTTTAAACATCTGAATCTTGATCTCAGCTCAGGTCTTGATTTCAGGGTGTTGAGTTCAAGCCCCACATTGGGCTTAAAAAAATTGGGCAAATGATTGAATAAATATTTGTCCAAAGACAACACTGGTATACAGAATGGTGCTCAACATCACTAATCAAGAAAATGTAAATCAAAACCACAATGATATATCATCTTATACCTGTTACAACGGTATTATTAAAAACAAAATAAAACAAAACAAAAAACAGAGAATAAATAATGTTGACATCCATGTGGAGAAATTGGAACTCCTGTGCACTATAGGTGGTAATTTAAAATAATTCAGCCACTATGGAAAATGGTATAGAGGTTTTTCAGAAAATAAACAGTAGAACTACCATATGATCCAGTGATCCCACTTATGCATTATCCTTATCACTGGGAATTGAAATCCAGATATCAAAGAGAGATCTGCATTTCCATGTTTACTGCAGCATTATTTACAATGACCAAGAGGCAGAAACAACATAAATGTGTATGGATGAATGAATAAAGAAAATTAAGTAGAAAACAAAATATTATTTAGCCATAAAAAAGAAGGAAATTCTGTCAGGGGTTACAACATGGATGAACCTCGATCACATTAAGTGAAATCAGCCAGTCAGAGAAGGACAGATACTATTTATCTCCACTTATATGAAATAGCTCAAAGTTACAGAAAGAAACAGAAAGTAGAATGGTTGTTGCCAATAGTTGGGGAGTGGGGAGGGTTTGTGGGAGAATTGCTATTCACCAGGTATTATCATGCAAGATGTAAAATTTCTAGAGATCTACTGTTCATCATTGTGTTGATAATTAATACTATCTACTGTGCCTCTATAAAAGAAATTAATTAAGGGTAGACCTAATGTTATGTTTTTACCACAATTAAAAAAATAAAACTTTTGGGGTGCCTGGGTGGATCAGTTGGTTAAGCATACGACTTCAGCTCAGGTCCTGATCTTGTGTTTTATAAGTTCAAGCCCTGTGTCAGGCTTTGTGCTGATAGCTAGGAGCCTGGATTCTGCATCTCCTCGTATCTTTCTGCTTTTCTTCTGCTTACACTCTGTCTCTCTCAAGAGTGAAAAAACATTAAAAAAAATAAAAATAAATAAAACTTTTCCTATCAGTCACCATGAGGACAGTATTGTTACTGCCTTGCCTCTTAATAGCCCAAATTCCAAGCTTCCCTTCACAGTTGGAGCTAGAATCCTGTTGGGTCCTGGGAAGTGATGGACCTCATTGCAGTTAACACACAAATTTCCCATATTTACACATGGAGAGCTAGGGAGGTGGAAACTCCAGAGATTACCCTTCAAAGGTCAGAACATATAAAATTGATCCCAAACAGATTTCCAGATTCTGGGATTAGAAGAAAGGATCCTGACAGGAAATGGTTTGGTTAAAAACTTACACAGATAACTTGGATTATATTTGCACTGTTAAGTACCAATACTTCAGGATATGAATGAAAGTTGTTTCTAGATTTAAGTGAGATCTAAATGAGATAAATAACTAAATGAAGATATACTGTTACATAGCAATAATGAAGGATATATATGAGGATATAACTATAGTATAAATAAGTATAAAAACCATTGGAACAAGTGCTATCACAGGTCTGTACCCGAATAGACCACATACAGTCTTGATTTATCAACCCATATTCACAATTTATAATTGAACACAAAATATTTTTACATATATTTAATATATTATAAAATACATATAGAACATATATACCATAAAATACCTTATGCATAAATTACTTCATGTAAGATACATAATTACACATATATATAATTTTTAAAGTAATTTTTTAACCAGAAACAAAAAAAAATCTAAAAAAAGAATTTAGATATCAATTAAATAATCTTTTGGGTGTTTGATGTAGCCTCTTTGTATGAAATGAATATTTTGGAGGTACTTTGTTAAGTCATTTCATAAAATTTTGCGGCCTTCATTTTTTAATTTATGTTTACCTTTTGCAAGTAAAGGACTGTTCCTTTTAGTACAGCATAAAATGTTTTCCATCCTCGCTTCCCTCTTGGAGCTAGAAAGGGAAAAAAATGGAAAATGTTATTTGACAGAAAACAGCACTTTAGGAAGAAGTGAAATGATCAACATGGTGTATTTCAATGATCTTGGTTTATTAGCTTCCAAAATTAATAATAAGAACTAAAATATTCTTGAAACATAACTGTGTAATAGTCAATCTTCCAAAAATGTCTTCCATGTATCATTTCATTTAATCCTCACAATAATAATGTGAGATAGGTACTATGACTCTTGTCTTTTTATAAAACTGAAGCACAGAGAAGTAATCTGCTCATGGTCATACAACTAGGAAGAGGAGAAGCAGGAATCTGAACCCAGGTAGCATGGCTCTATAGTCTGCACTCTAGTAGACATGACTTAAAGACTGGGAAAGCAAAGAGGCATTTTGCAAGTGCATATTAATTCCAGAGAAAGCTTAAAAGCTCATGTACCAGATCATTTATAGCTCTGTCAAAGTTTCTAGAAATCATTAAAGTCTCAGAATATAAAAGGACTCCTCTTGGTATTTCTCCCACATACCTACCAACTGGATTATAACTTTGGCAACCTGCATTACCTCAGTTGCAGATCTTGCCACACTGTAACATAATATTTTTGTTTTAAGTGTCTCTTTCAGGAGACTATGAATGACCTGAGAGCAGGTATCCTTTATTTTTATAATTCATAGTACCTGGCACAGTATATGGCAGTCATTAGGCACCCTCATAAAAAATCTCCAAATTAATGTTCACAGGGGCGCCTGGGTGGCTCAGTGAGTTGGGCGTCTGACTTCGGCTCAGGTCATGATCTCGCGGTCCGTGAGTTCCAGCCCCGCGTCGGGCTCTGTGCTGACAGCTCAGAGCCTGGAGCCTGTTTCAGATTCTGTGTCTCCCTCTCTCTGACCCTTCCCCCATTCGTGCTCTGTCTCTCTCTGTCTCAAAAATGAATAAACGTTAAAAAAAAATAAAAATAAAAAAAAAACTGAAAACTTAAAAAAAAAAAAAGTCCTTACATTCCTTTTGTTTATATTTTCCTGGAGTATAAAGTAGAATTCATCTATTTTTTAAAATGTTTATTTATTTTTGAAAGACAGAGAGACAGGGGGAGATGCAGAGAGAGGGAGACACAGAATCTGAAACAGGCCCCAGGCTCTGAGCTGTCAGCACACAGAGCCCAATATGGGGCTTGAACTCATGAACTGTGAGATCACTACGTGAGCAGAAGTCAGAGCCTTAACCAACTGAGCCACCCAGGCATCCCTACAATTTCTCCATTGAATCAATGTATACTTTTACAGAATGTCCTAAAACAAAAACACAGATTAGAAAATACAGTTTACTATTCATTCGTAATCTTAATAAAATTAAAATATATAACTGGAAAATTTTATTACCTGAATGACATTTTTCTAAACATGTCTATCCAAATAGGTGGGTACGGTCACTCATTCTTACTCCTTTATCAACTATCTGGCTGCCTTTAGGCTGTCTTTAACTTGGATGCTTGATTAAATTAGGAAGTGCATTATTCTTAAGCAAATCCTTTAAATCTCCTTTGACTGAAGACTCAAGAATCCTTAGGGTTGGCAACTGTGTTAATATCCACCTACAGAACACAGGTGCCCCTGCCAACACTATACTGATACATCCACCTGGCAAAAAAGGACTCAAAACATCTGCTCTGCAGGTTTCTGGGGGAAATTAAAAAAGAAACAAAAAACAAAAAGCAAAACAAAACAAAACAAAAAACAACAACCAAAAACAAACCATCCCATCTGTTTCCACTATGGAAGGTTTAAAAGTATGTACTCAAAAATAAGTGAACAAAAACAGTACACCATTATCTCCTTTATAAAGAGAATCACAGATCATTTATACATATCTATATATAATATATAGATATTATGTATGTTATATATAAATGTTATATAATACAGTATATATATAATTTATATGTGTATATATCATATATATATACATATATATATACTGAATATTGACTGTACCGTTAAATAGATGTCAAATTCTGATACAGCTGATGTGACAACAGTGCACACAGAAACACAGAAGTGACCACAGGAACTACTGCATACTGCAGAGCAGGACCAAAGGCAGCGTGGTGTGCTGAACCCACCAGACTAGAAAGCAGACCAGCTGGTTTCTAGCCCTGTCTTAAACCTATCTCACCCAAAACTTTAACTGGGTAACTTCTAACCGATCCACCAACTTTTCAAAAATTTGGATGTTTCATTTAAAATCATGGATAATTTACCTAAGTTAAGGCAAAGAATTAGCTAATGCTGGAAAGGAACTTAGAGAAAACTGCTTTTTTTTCCTCTTACTTTTTGTTGTTGTTTAACATCTTTAATCCCCATCACCTACCCATTCCCCCCATCCAAATCATCTCTGGTAACCATCAGTTTAGTTCTCTACACCTAAGAGTCTGTTTCTTCCTTTGTCTCTGTCTCTTTTTCTCTCTTGGTTTTATTTCTTAAATTTCACATATGAGTAATGGTATTTATATGGTATTTGTCTTTCTCTGACTGACTTATTTCACTTAGCATTATGTTCTCTAGATCCATCCATGTTGTTGCAGATGACAAGGTTTCATTCTTTTTTATGGCTGAGTAATATTATATATACTTGTTTATCCATTCATCTACTGAAGGACACTTGGGCTGCTTCTGTAATTTGGCTACTGTAAATAATGCCACAATAAACATAGGGGTGCATATATCCTTTTGAATTAGTGTTGTTATATTTTTTGAGTAAATACCCAGTACTGTGATTACTAAATTATAGGATAGTTCTATTTTAATTTAAATTTTTAATTTTTTGAGGAAAATTTTCACAGTGTACGTACCTGCTTGCATTCCTACCAATAGTGAAGGAGGGTTCCTTTTTTTCCACATTCTCACCAACACCTGCTTTTTCTAGTGTTGTTGATTTTAGCCATCTGACAGGCATGAGGTAATATTACATTGTAGTTTTGTATCCTATGACTTATGATTGGAGCATTTGTATATTTATATGCAAAGTAATTAGTGATAGATGTGTACTTATTGCCATTTTGTTACTTGTTTTGGGCTTATTCTTGTAGTTTTTCTCTTATCCTTTCTTCTCTTGCTCTCTTTCATGGTTTGCTGGCTTTCTTTAGTGATATACAGTAAAACCTTGGATTGTGAATAACTTGTTTCTGTGAGTGTTCTGCAGGATAAGCAAGCATTTCTAATAAATTTTAACTTGATAAATGAGCAATATCTTGCAATACAAGTAGTATGTGATGCCTAATGTCACATGATCACACCTGAGCCAATGGTTCTTCTCTCTCTCACTGCGGGATTGTGGGTGATCATCAATGCAATGTCACATTTGTGGGAAATCCTCAAAAGAAGGCAAAAGCAAGTGGCATTGGATAGGCTCCCTCTTAAAACTGCACAAAATGAAAAGATTCCACACCCGTGATTCTGTTAGTGATAGTGAAAGTTGTCCTATAAAATAACCCTTCTCTCTCGTCTCCCTTGCACCAGCCATGAAGGTTTTCAAAGTTAAGTGTAGGTTAATTTTTTTGTTTATAGTTTTTATTTTATTATTTTGTATTATATTATAGTATTATAATCATTTTTATATGAATATTTTTGGGTTGTGGAAAGCATCATCTGAGTTTCCACTATTTCTTTTGGGGAAATTCGTTTTCACTCACAAATGCTTTGGATCAAAATTTGGAACAAATTATGCTCACAAACCAAGGTTTTACTGTACTTGGATTTCTTCCTCATTCTTTGCATATCTATTAGTGGTTTTTAATTTGTGACTGCCATTAGTTTGTATAACATCTTCCACATACAGCAGTCTCTGTTATGTTGATGGTCACTTAAGTTGGAAACCATTCTTTACTCCTCTCACCCCCACAATTTAGGTATATAGTGTCATATTTTACATCCTTTTATCTTGTGACTCCCTTGACTGGTTTTTACAGATTTACTTATTTTTACTCCTTTTGTGTTTCCTACTTTTCATACTCTCACTTATGGTCTTTCCTTTCCACTCAAAGGGTGCCTTTTAATATTTCTTGTAGGGTTTGTTTAGTTGTCATGAAATCCTTTATTTTTTGTTTGTCTGAGACACTGTCATTCTACTCTAAATGATAGCCTTGCTGGATAGAGTATTCTTGGATACAGATTTTTCTCTTTCAGCACTTCAAATGTATCATGTCACTGCCTTCTGGCCTACAAAGTTTCTCCTGAAAAACCTGCTGATTACCTTGGGGTTTCCCTTATATGGGGTTTCCACTCAGATTATGATCCCAGGGTCATGGGATCGAGCCCTGTGTCAGGCTCTGCACTGAGTGTAAAGTCTGCTTAAGATTCTCTCTCTCTCTCTTTCCCTCTGCCCCTCTCCCCTGCTTGCATGCACTCTCTGAAATTAAAAACAAAACAAAACAAAAAACATATAAAAAAATAAACATGATGGGAGTAATGAATGAGAGTTCTATTTGGAAACCCAATGTCACCTACTGAAAGGCTTTAAATTATAAGGGTGATAGGGAGTTGGTAAGTAGGTTTTAAAAATACCTAGGTGTCTACTGTAAAAAGGTGTTTACAGAACTCTATCAAAAGACATGATTTTATGCACTAGACTATGCTTTCATAGCTGTTTTTAATATGTATACTCAAAGTTCAAAGACACCTTCTTTTTGAAAATACAAAGATTTTAGAATATTTTGTTCTCATCATCTGCCTCCAACCTTACATGATAATGGTACCTATTACTTTTGTTTGTTTTCTTAACACTACCAAAAAAGACATCATTATTTTTGTATGTGTCTATAAACTCTCATTGTCTATATCTACTCTCATGTTTACACTTATTCATTAACACTTTCTGTACCTCAGATTTCTTTTGGAGGTCATGTTCAATTAATTCTCTAAATTTATAATTAAAGTTCCTTTTGTGAGGGTTGTTTTGATGGGAAATCATTTTCTACTTTTGTTTACATAAAAATGTCTTTATTTCA